ACGCCATATTTTTCCATTTTTTTGAGCAGGATTTCATGATCAACAGTATCGAATGCTTTTGATAGATCTATAAAGATTCCTAGAACAAATTCATTATTATCAAATGAGTAGTTGATGCTATTTACAAGATCTATGATTGCATGTTCGGTTGCATATTGTATTTAAAATCCAAACTGTTTTTTATTTAAGATGTTATTGTTTGTTAAATATATGTACAGTTTATTATAAATTATTCGTTCGAGAAGTTTTGAGAATACAGGAAGGATTGAGATTGGTCTATAGTTGTTTAGTAAATATGGTTCTCCAGTTTTTAAATATAGGTACAATTTTTGCAATTTTTAATTTCTCTGGAACGGTTCCTGTTATTATTGAAGATTTAAATATTTCGAAGAGGGGTTTTTTTATTATCGGAAAGATATTTATTATTACATTGCTACAAATTTCATCAATTCCTGGTGCTTTATTAATTTTTAAAGAGTATTTTGCATTTTCAAGTTCTTCATAGCTTAATCCATTGAAAATTAGTTCGCTATTTAGATCTGTAAAATAATTTTCAAAGGAGTCATTTGTAGTTAAAATTTTAGACGCCATATTTGGGCCTATGTTTGCAAAGAAATTGTTGAAGTGTTCGGCAATTGAGTTCTTATCACCGTGTTTAGTTCATTTACTAAACACGATTCTACCTGGTAAACTTTTTGTTTTTTTGTTATTTTTCTTTTATAAATTATCTTTTTCAAATTATTATTTACTCTTGTATCATTTTTTATTGTAAAGTAAATTGGAAAATGATCTGTTATATCAGTTTTTACTATCTAGAAATGAGTTTGTTAGTATGTTATCTATGGCAGAAATAGAATTTAAGGTTACCCGTGTGGGTTTATTAATAATTGGTAAAATACAATGTTGAAACATGTTATCAAAAAATAAATTAGTAGTCGGAAACTCATTGTATTTTAAACAATCTATGTTGAGGTCCCCACTACAGAATAACATTCTTTTGTTCTTTATTGATTTTGAGAAAACTTTCTTCTAGATAATTAGAAAAAGTTTTAATATTACCTTCAGATGGTCTATAACAGGTAGAAACAATAATATTTTTAAACTTGGAGTTTATGATTTCTATTGTAAAGACCTCGCTATCGGCATTAGAAATGGAATGGTATTTTCTAACTTTTATTGCTTGATCATTCCGAACATAAGTTGCAATCCCTCCTCCTTTTTTGCATGTTTTTCTTTCAGAAGATATTAATTTATAATTGGGAATTTGAAAGTTAGTGTTATTTTGGATTGATTCGTCAGAACACCAAGTTTCTGCTAGACAAGTCATACTGAATAAGTAATTACAATCAATTAGGAAGTGGTTAAGTTAGTCAAAATTTTTATTTATGCTTCTTATATTTATGTGAATTACTGTAAAATTAATTTTAATAGTTTCAAGTTCAGTTTTAAAAGTTTCAGTTTTAACATATCGAGAATCAAAATTGTTCATTTGAAAAATATGCGTATTAGCGTCAAAGAGAATATTATTAGCAGTTTCGAAAACATTAAAGCGCATTGATTCAAAATCTATCGTTTTGTTGATCATTGTTTTAAAATTGAAAATAGAAAACGCGTTTACTTAGTTAAAAAAAAGTGTAGCACTATTTTTTAAAATCTCGTGTAAATATTTTATCATATTTTAAAATGGCGTATTTACCTTCGCTTCTTAGTTTTTTGACTTCTTCCCATAACTTTTTTCGATGATATATTGTTTCTTGAGCGAAATCTTCATTTATGTATAGTCCAGTTCCTTTAAGTTGTTTTACTGCATTGAGAGTTTTGTTTTTGCCTTGGTAGTTCAAGAGTTTTAAGACTAATGTTCTTGGTTTGTTTTCTTTAAATTGTCCGATTCGATGAGCTCATTCGACCACCACTTCACTAGGTATTTTCAATAGTGTTTTGAAAATGTCTTTAACAGCTTTTTCGCAATCTTTCCAACTTTCGCCTGGTGTTTCTTGTAGCCCATCAATTCTTAAGTTGTTCCTTCTTGATCTATTTTCTAGATCGATAGATTTTTTATATAATGAATTGATTTCTTTGTCTTAGTATTTCTTTATTTGTGATTTTTTTTCCGAGATATTATTTTCTTGAAAATTTAGTCTTTAATGTCGCATAAGTCTTTTTCTATATTTGATATTTTACATTTGTTATTATTAATGTCTTTCTCTAGCATGTCCAATCTATCAGTAATAATTTTGAGATTTGCACTGATAATTGAGGTAAATGATTTTTCCTGGTATTTTAATAATCTTTCCGTTTCTTTTAGGATACTTTTTTTGCGCTCCTTAAGTTTACTTGATATTATTTTTTCAATGTTTTTCATTGTGATGTCCATTATTTTTTTTATATATATATAAATGCTTAATCTACGCTACAAAAGCACGTCTGTTCACTTCACGCAAGACACGCCGCAATTTAGTTGCAAGACACACAATTTTTAAACATACAACACATTTTGAAACAACAATTTTGAACAACAATTTTGAAACACACAACACATTTTGAAACACAACAATTTTGAAACACACAACACATTTTGAAACACAACAATTTTGAAACACACAACACATTTTGAAACACACGCTTGAAATCACAACTTGATATTGTCTACATCTACAAATACCTTGGAACCCTGCTCAATAGGAATCTCGATAGGGATAAACAATGGATAAAAGTGCACACCACTATAAAATCAGTACTAATTCTACTCAAGCGCCTAATGCAAATCCGACATACTTAGCCTAACCTTTTATTAGTCAGCAGGTCTTTACTTCTTGCAGTCTTGCGACAAAAAAAAAAAAAAGAGATACAACATTTCCGCAAAAATGCCTTACACATCATCGGAGTTGCTGAAACCAACTTAAGCAGTTTCAATATTTGTATATAGAAGAATTATTTGTACATAGAAGAACTATATTTGTTCATAGAAGAATTACTAGACAAGACCTGTATTAATGCACCAATAGCAGTAACCCCAACAGATTCCCATTCGCTCTAAATACCGCAACCAGTACTACCTCTCAGCAATCCTTTATTAAAAAACACCTACGTATTCTTCGTGATGGTGTCAGTGACCTCAAGTGACCAGTGGAAAAATAATATAAATATATAAATATATATATATATATATAAATATATATATATATATATATATATATATATATATATATATATATATATATATATATATATATATATATATATATATATATATATACACACACACACATGATTAAAATTTACAAGAAACAACCAGAGTGTGTCGGCAGTTTTAATAAGTAATAATTATGAAAGGTTTGTAAATATAATTACATTAATAGTGATATAAAGTCTTGTTTATAGGAATGACTAGGTGACTTATGTAGGAATATTTTTGAGATTACCAACTGAATGGTTGATGATGATATTTTCTTATTATTACGAATAAAATATCGCGAGACAATAGATTTTTTATATGAAGAGTGTTAGGCTAAAATCGTTAAAATATCTTAAACTAAAATAACACAATATTATAAAAAGTGTAATAATATGATAATATAAAATATAATATATATATATTTTTTACAGCACTCATTGAAGAAAGATATATCAAGATAAGTTGCTTATTAAGTAGTTTTAATTCGGAGATATATATAGCTTTTAATTCGGAATAATATAGCTTTTAATAGACAACCGTGTAGACAGACGATACATGATTACAGAATTGTTTTGAAAGTTGCTCAAGAAAAATGTGTTTTAATTCGAAATAAATTAGCATATAAAATCATAATTTCTCTTTTATATTTTTAACAATTTTTAAGTAGTTTTGCAAGATTTGCAATTGTTTCCAGGTGAGCAAACCCATCTAGGACCCAGATGGAAACTGTGGCCAAATACCGCTGGGGTTCCGGAGGGCTTCATATATGGGACCCATACGGGTTATTAGTGTGAGATTTGTTTGGGACCCGTATGGGTAACCCGGCGGGCAAACCAATATGGGCTCCGGATGAAAACGGCGGCCAAAAACCTGCAGGATTTTGGATGGCTACCCACATGGGGCCCAGTTGACAACCCGTACCGGTCCCATACGGAACTCGTATCGCAATGCTGGCTGGGCCTGTACTGTAGTTTTAAAAATGAAACAATACGGTAACAGACTATAAATTTGTTTTATATTTCGGGCAAAAAAACAAAACAGTTCCCGTGGATAAACGCGTCCCAAACTTATCGGAGCTTTAGGTTTCTTCGATTTCAAAATACTTTTGTCGTACGTTTTATGTAAGCAAGTTTCAGTGAGTTATGCAAATTATTACTTTTAAATTAAATTTAATATTTGGCTTCACTTCAAATCCTAAATTCTTAAATTTTATAAACTTGTTTGTTTTGTCTGACCAAAGTATTTTTACCGGTTCATAGTTGTGTCCTGAAAGTCAATTACTTATTGTTAAATATATTTTTTTGGAACTACAGAGCAAAATATTTCAAAAACTTTATATTTCGTACCCTTTGTTTACTTTGGCTTATTATTCTTCTATTCTATTATACACCTCAAGTAGTCACAGCAACAATGAGTGCTTTCTTACGTTTTTTAAATTCTCAAGCAATAAATTATTTAAATTAAATAATAAATAAAAGACATGGTAAGTTTTTATTGTAAAATGAAAATAACAATTAATTAATTGAAAGGAACAATGTTATTTTAAAATTATTAAAACATTTATTTTAGTTTAAGAACTTTAACTTTTTTTTCACTCAGTTTTCAATAAAAGGTAATAAACTTATATAATTAAAAAAAAAATTGTTATAGTTAATAAATATAAAGTAAAATATACATAGAAGAAAAAAAATAACCTTGTAAGAACCCCCTTCTGTCCTTACATTTGATATTTGTACTTAAATACTTCTTATGCGCTATTACTACAAGCATTTTACTGGTTGGACCTAAGTATCATTACTTTAGGTTGTCAGAAACAACTACATAGTAGAAAAAAACAGTACCATCATGAAATTAATGGTTTCACCATGTCAAAAATAATGTATTAATGGTGCTACAACATCAAAAAATACTTCAGGGAGTAAAATATAGTGTAACGGTGCAAGAACCAATGCCATTGTATTAAATATTAGATGTTATAAAAATTTTTTTCATGCTACAAGAAAACATTTCACGCATAAAAAAGATATACGCCAGAAATGATGTCAAATGGTGTTCGTCAGAAAAAGTGACAGATAAATAAATCAAAACAAAACAACTAATCCAAACTGTTATTCCTATTAAAAAAAGTTCTTTTGTTTCTGTAAACTTTTTTCAATAAAAATCTTTACTCTGTAGGTTCCGATCGATAAATATTTTACAACTCCATTTAAATGGAATACTAAATCCAAAACATATTTAGGATTTTTTAAAATTGCGGTTTTCGCTTTCTACCAGAATATTTAGAGTCAGCTCTCACACTAAAATAAATTTGAAATGCATAGAAAAAATTCTTGAATTAAAAAACAAAAAACAAATTAAAACTTGAAATAAAATTTACTCTTTTCCTTGTCTTTTACGTCTGTCTTTCTTCTGGACAATCCAAGCCTTGCTTTTTTTAGCTGGTTTACCAATCATGAATTTGCTTGATTGCCTGAAATAATTTTTAAAATTTATATTTCTTTCTATATAAAATTTACAAAAAGTTCTTAACATACCGTGAGTTAGTGTAGTCAATTGTTGTGCTCGAATCATCAGTTCCTAGTGCCTAAATATTAATTGTTAAATTAACACATTGAATGTTTGAATTTAAAAAAATAAAAAAAAATTGTGGTTCACTAGTTCTTTTTCTTAACTATTAGTTTTTTACTGACTGTTGAGAAAAGTATACCAACAAAATAAAAAACTTACTGATGTTTATGATATCAAATCATTGTAAAAAATGATTTGATTCGAAAAAAAGCATTTCTTACAAAGTAATTTTTTAACTTAAGAAAGAGAGGATAATCCAGTGGATTAATTTTAATTTTAAGTGACTGATTTTGGGTCTTGTCAAAACATCAAAAATCAATTAAAATAATAATTTTTCAACAACATTTGTTATTAGTTAACAAGTAAGGCTTTAAATAATCTTTTTTTAATAAATTATTCCATTAACAAGAATCAATAGGCTTATATCTAAATATTATTTTATCAATTTGAACCAACTTGTCTATCATACACTAAATTTTACTCTTACAGTTACTAAAAACTACACTGGTCTAAATGATACCAGTTGTCTGAAAAATGTTGTTATTTTACCTGAAAAAATTAAAAGTGATAACTTTCGGCATAAATGGTAGGGTTGTTAACCGGAGGATTTCGTGCAATTCCGTAAAAACAACATTCTTTCGTAAGGAGATTGAGAACGAGGAATTACATTTTTTCGTACCGAATGTTACAAAACATTTAAAATCGCCGATGTTCATTTCGCAAAATTCACTTCCGAAATTTAGCATTTCGCAAGTTGACATACGAAACAAAACTATTTTGCAACATACGAAAGTACGGTTTCGGAAGTCGCACTTGCGAAACAAACATTGTCGCTAATCGACGTTTAGAAGTCTATAAAGAAATTTTGTTTGCCAGACTGATTTTAATTGTAAAAATTAACATCTTTAAATCCCAAAATTGATGTGTAGAAATATTCATGTTTTTTTTTTTTTAAAGCATATGAAATTTTTGAAACAGGTTCGAATATGCTTAAGCAAATAGTAAAAAGAGGCTCAAAAATATGTTTTAGCTTAAGCATATTTCTGATAAAATATACCTATTTCAATAATTTCTAAAAGTGTGCACGTTACTAAAGTTCTAGCAGATTTTAAAGGTATTTAGAGTCCTGTTTGAATACGCTTTTCGAAGTATAGATCTTAGAAAATATTGTTTTTTAATTTTAATAAGATATAAATTTGAGTATAAGATTGTATAGTTCAATCAGTTAGATACGTGATAATTCGCCGCAGAGATCCGGGTTCGCATCCCGCAGCCATTGTAACTTTTGTTCATCAAACTCTTTTTACTTAAGATAGCATTTTTTTACCTCCATGTTCTATATTACAGATCTTTCGTCACCTTCACAATAGTGACAACCTCTCTTTAATTTAAGATTGACTCAAAATGATTTATATTATTTGAAAATTTGTCTAGTACAAAAAGCAAAAGATTTAAAGCAAAATGATTTATATTATTTGAAAAAGTTGTTTTACGTATATTTCATCATAATTTAAGTAGAACTTAGTAAAGCAAGGGAAACGTGTTGAATTAAGCACAATGAACTCAATCTTAAAAGAATAACTGTTAGTTATTCTTTTAAGATTGAGTTCATTGTGCTTAATTCAACACGTTTCCCTTGCTTTACTAAGTTCTACTTAAATTATGATGAAATATACGTAAAACAAATTTTTCAAATAATATAAATCATTTTGCTTTAAATCTTTTGCTTTTTGTACTAGACATCTGTCCTAAATACTTTGTAATAATTTCTAGCTAACTCTGAGTCTAATATAACCATTTCTGAATATAAATTTCCTGAGGCTCCTACGGCCTATTGTGTTCCATTAAAAGTAACTAGTTTTTGAGTCCAGATATTAATTATAAGCAACTAAAGGTTCACATTACTATTCATTTTCCTGATATATAGAATCCTATTTGCATACGTATCTCTTTCTGTAAATTCTGTTTTATATAGTTTCTTGATTATATATTAAATAAATATTACTATTCACTTAGTTGAATGAACGTATAGCTCATTCAGTTAAGACATTTGGCCGCGTAGACCCAGGTTCACATTCCGCTGTTTCACATATATTTCTTCTCTTTTTACTCTTTCTGATATCATTTACTTTTAGAGAGATCTCTCGTTCTTTATAATAAAGTATTTAATTGTTTATCACACATCCTCTTTATACTTTTTAAAAAGAAAGGCATGCTGTTTATCTGTTCATTGAGAGTCCAACTTAACGGGATTTTACTGTATATATATGTATATATATATATATATATATATATATATATATATTTATATATATATATATATATATATATATATATATATATATATATATGTAAAATCCCGTTAATGTATATATATATATATATATATATATATATATATATATATACACATATATATATATATATATATATATATATATATATATATATATATATATATATATATATATATATATATATATATATATATATATATATATATATATATATATATTAGGTATATTTGTATAAACATTTGAAGAATCATTTGACAACATTTTTTTATAATTTTATTATTTATTATTTAAACTGTTAACAGTTAATATCTTAAATATATCGTAAAATAAAATCTTTTGCGTCTTTTTCGTAACTACACATTCCGAAATGCTTTTTCCGTAAGGAACTATTTCGTAAGTATTCTTACGAAATGATTTGTGTCGCAAGTTTTCTTTCGCAATGCTTTATTACGGAATTTTATTTACTATTTATATTTTCGTACAGCGCGTTACGGAATGTGCATTTTTGCATGTGCAACTTCCGCAATAACAATTCTATTACGGTAGATAAAGATGCGAAATTTTCGCAAGTTTTGTTTTTCGGCGAACAACCCTAATAAATGGCTTATTCTTAGTGTGTCAGGTTTTGAAGACTTCGCACATCAAATTTATAGACTGATTTTAGCATTACATAACAATTATTATTTAATGTTATCGAACTGTAAAGAATTTCATTTGCATATCTTATTGTAATAATTTCCTGTCTAATCAAACAATATTTCAATTTGAGAATGATAAACCACCCACGCTTTAATGATTTACTAGTTGGTAAGCTGCAAGTCTACCATTTCATTTCTTATGGATGGATCTAATCTAATTACCTCGCCTAAGGTAGCGATTCCACGGCGCTACAAAAAACATTTGACGTTTGAAAAAAAACACTGAAATTTCATAAACTTTACTCTCTTATATCTTTTTGTAGACTTAAGCAAGCGCCTTGAGGCTTTTCGCATCAGTTAGTGTTTCTCAACCTCTTTCCAGCCATATATAGAAAGTATTATGTTTTATATGGCTTCATTTAAATATTATCAATATCTTGAGACCACTTTTGCTAAAAAAAAGTTGCCGCGGACACGTTTTTTCAAAAGTAGCTTTTGAAGGTAAGTTTTCCTAAGCACTAAAACACATCCAATATGTATGAAAATTTTCAAATAGATTAAAAAGAGGACGAGTAATTGAATGGAAAGGAAACCTTTTTCAAATTTATACAAAAATTTTTAGTTCTCAAAGTTTAAAAACTTTAAGGTTGAAAAAAAAAACTTTTTTAAAAAAGGTTCCCTGTTCAAAATGCAAGTATAACCTTTCCTCTCTCTAAATCAAGTATTTATTTATGTTTTCTTGAAGATTTGATGCTTAGGAATTTTGTTTTAAAATTATGTATGCATTATATGCATTTTTTTACCACGTAATTTATGACGTTTTTTGTTTGGTTGTTTACTAAATTATAAATAAATTTTGGCGTTATTTTTATGAAATTTGATGATGGTTTTTTTTTTTTTTTTTCAATTAATTAAAAACTTAAATAGTAGCTAAATTGGACGGTTTTTATGAAAATAATATAAAATTATAAACTGCTTAAAATGGTAAAAAAATCTTTGTTCTTTCCATCATTGATGAAAAGAACAAGATTTTTATACCATTTAATAATCCTAATTAAGATTTGTTTCTTATTCACACCCTGAAATTATTTCTTATTCACATCCTTAAATTAAGGCTTAATAAGGAAGTGAATAAGAAAAAATCCTTATTAAGGCTTAATAAACATTAAGCTTTAATAAGAGTTATTTCTTATTCACAACCTTATTAAGTCTTAATTTAAGGATGTGAATAATAATTTATGGGATATAAAATAAGAAATAGTTTTTATTATAAGGATTATTTCTTATTCACATCCTTATTAAGACTTAATTTGGTTTATTTGGTTAATCTTACAATCCTTTCTAACATCTCTTTTGTTGACATTTCTGAAAATTATATTTTGGCAAGACTGTTTGATATTTAATTTTATATTCATTACATTTTCTATTAATTTGTCTATTTTGTAAATAAAGGTGATTAATTCAGGAAATTTAAGGCGATTAATCAAATCGCCAGATAATAAAGTTAGCTGGTGATCCTAATTGGAAACTGGGAGATTCTTTTCATAACTTGAGTTTCAAGAAGACAATAATCAGAATGGCTTGATAAAGACTTGTCTAAAATAGAAGTTTAAATAACAGAGCTTGAAAAAACAGCATTAGCAGTTTTCAAGTTTAAATCAGAAAATAAACTTTTAGAAGCAGAAACATCTTCTTGAACTAATTCTCAAGAATTTGTTCCAGAAGATATTTGGGTAAAAGTTGGGATAGAACAATTAACAGAAGGTAGCAAATCATCAACATTGTTAAATTATGCAAGACTGACGTTTTATTTTAACTATCTGCATTTTAATTAGGAAAACAGGATGAATGGAGAGTATTATTAAAAACTAAAGTTGTAGGAAAAAAACTAGACAAATAAGATTTTTTTAGAGCACCTAGGAGCAATAAAATACTATATTATTGTATACAAATACTAAGTTAGCAATTATTTGTATAAGGTTTCCATGAGAGGTCGGTACAAAAAGATAATCAAAGATGATGCAAAGTGAAGGCACAGTAAAAATGTTGCCATTCATCAATATATATCAACAGAATCAATAGAATATCAACAAGATTGCTAAGACTTTTTAAAGACTTTGCCAGATACATTATACAATATCATCCAGAGCAATAAACTGTTCCTCACCGCCTCTATGTAATTATAATTTCAAACCTTTCTATAACGACAGTTAACAGGTCAGCTCCAAATCGAGACGATTCAAATCATAGACGATATAACATAAAACAATCATAGACGATATAACATATAGAAATAGACAAATAACATAAAAAGCATATGAATCAAGGCGATTCATGTTTCTTATGTTATCGACAAATAGAGCCGTCTGTGAGCTTTTCAGGATGATCATTGATGATGCTTTTCACCTGTGAGCCTTACAAGATGATCATTAATATTGCTTAAAAACAGTAAAGGGCTGAGGATAGAAGTTAACATTGTTAGCACAGGGTCTGTATGTTTTGTGATTGTGATGTTATTGTTGTGATGTTTTGTGTTGATAGACAACTTGGCTTACCTTCTCGCTGGTGTCTATCATTAAAAATGATTATTAGGTTGTTTCATTACTGAAACTTGCATCTTCTAATCATTTACTAAAAGCCAAGAGATAAGTTGTATAATAGCAATATTTTTTGTTTTAAAGTTGTTTTTTTATATTAAGTGTTGTCAATAGTTCACATGAACATTCTCAAAGAGCAAGTAGAAAGACTCTTACTGAGTTCTTTACTTTAGGTCTTCTCAGATTATCCTTCAGTTCACAGGTCCAAAAATGTACTGTAAATTTGTTAAAGCTGTTAAAAAGAATGGATCTTATTTGAGCAGTAACCATGGTTACTGTCCAAATAAGATCTATCTGTTTGAACTTGTAACTTAATTAGTGATTGCTTGCAGCCTTATTAAGAAAAAAAAATCTCTACATTAAAAAAACATTGCTAAAATTTCCTACAAGGACTGTAAGGTAACAGATCAAAATAAGGCTGCTTTAGGAAAACAATGGACAAAATAAATAATAAGTCATTCGGAGTGCTGTATATTAAATTTTCTGTTCAAGTATCTACACATGACAATGTATTAAATGACAGTAAATTTATAAAACTGTCATTGTTATTATCAAGATTAACTAAAAATAGACTAATGTCTATCTGAATGATAACCTTGATGATAACTATGTTAGTTTTGAATCTAGTATCCCTAAACTAATGCCATAAACTGTTCTTGATGATTTAGTAAGAACCTGCTAAAAGAGTCTGAAGAACTCATTGGCTTTTAGTTGCAGAAAAAAAATTTTATACTAATTTAAAAAAATGTGTTGCTGATAAACAAAAATATTACAAACAAAAATTAAAAAAAAAAAACTAAAAGAAAAAAGAAAACAATTCTTTATGAAAAAGAAAATTTATAAGCACTAAAATAAAACTCAAACTCGAAGCAAAAAATATTTTTGTTAAGATTTTAATTGCTTTTAAAATAAATAAATAACAAATATGTAATAATATGAAATATATTACTGTAAAATTTATCTTTTGAAACGCCTTGAAACAAAAATTAATTTGCCCCAAAAAGCCATAACAAATCCAGCCCTAGATAATGACCCTTTGATATATATCAGTTGTTATTTTTCAGAGATATTTATCTTCAATCAAAACCCAAATATGGAGTAAATGAAAAAATATTAGATACCTGAGGTATCTAACATAAATATTTATTTACCTGAGGTAATTTAGTCATATTAACTCCAGCAAACAAGCATAAGAACATCCTATAAAAAACAAAAAGCAAGATAGTAGTAGTTGGATTTAATTTGAGTATAACAGAAAATAGTATATCTAAAAGATAAACTATATAGATTATAATATGTAGCAATGACATCATTACCATTTGAACCTTTGTAAAGAGTTTAAAAAGGCTCCAAATATATAAGCCAAAATATAAAAAAACTTATTTAAGCTTATATAACTTATACAAGTTTTTATTCTTCTACAAAAAAATATTTCAAACCCCGATGGTTATATCAGTCAATGCACGCACACTCTTCTGCTTTATAATGCTATTATTATGCTAGTCAAGAATTGTACTTCACCCATGAGTACAATTCACATTAAAATAAAATAAAGAAAAGGAAAATAGAAGTAAAAAAAAGAGAATATAAACATTTTTTGATTATTTTTGCTTTTTTTTTATGTTTTTGTTTTGTTTTGCAGATTTAAAAAAAATGATTTTAAATAATTGAATGCATTTTCGAAATTATTGATTTTAAAATTTAATTGTAGAAATACATTAAGTTTTTGCCAATAGCAAACTTGTCATCATAAATTAATTTTTTTTACCATAAAAATTTGCATAAAGCTCCCTTTAAGGTTGGAGTACAGTAAGCTGGTCCGCATAAAAATGTTAACATAAAACAAAAAAAAAACAACAACAATGAAGCACCAAGGGAAAAAAAAAGACAAATAAACAGTCACAGTAAAAGGATGTAACCTAGCTGAATAATAAGTGATGCTGGATTGAGTTTTGCTTAATGGAACAAGTAATGCTTGTTTGAGCAGTGACCATGGTAATACTTGTAGAAGAAAAAAAAGATAAAAACTTACAACAATGGGACAGAGGCTCAAGCTTAGCAACAGATCCAACAACAACTATTTTAAACTTGTCAAAAATAAAGAGGGTTTTATTAGAAGAAGCACCCAAAATATGACAGCAGTATTCCATACAAAGATATCATGTATGATCAGCAATTTGCTGATCAAACATTTTATTTTTCAGGTTTTTAAACATTTACTTGAAGTTATCAAGGTTTGCTTTGAATTAATCCTTTAGCTGGATTTCGCTAAAAAACTGAAAATTTTAAAAGGTCTTATTAAATGATAACTGATGCATGCGTAAAGACCAAAATTCACACTGTCTTCTAACACATCAAGAATTTTATTTGTCTCAAAGAATCCCCCTTGAATCCCTACGGTTAACAAACTGCTTATCATATAAGCAAAACACTAATCATTCAGAGTACAAGAAAGGTTTTGCTCTGCATAATTAATCTAAACAGTAAGCATCTTTAGAAAACTGCTTGGCCTTGACATATACATATATCCAGGCCAATTATATGATTATTAGTCTTTGCAAATCAAAGTCATCAACACCGAGATCTGAAGATGAAAAAGCTAAACTTAAATTTGTCTTACAAAAAGCAAGCAGGTCTGGTAAGTTTTGAAAAAGTTAAGATTCATTGGATGACTTAACGACTCAATGATCAAATTTCCCAACGACCACAAATATTTAAAAAGGGTAGATTAAAACAATTTAGTGATGGTAATACTTTAGGTTACTTTATTCACATTTTTACCTAATAGCAGATTTCACTCAATTATAAATAGTGAGTAATAACTAAAGCAATAAGCTATGTGGTTGCTTCATTGCTGCCTATTAGTCTAAGGCTTTAACAAGGTGGCCACTACAATGAAATATTTTAATAGGTGGCCACTACAATGAACATAAAAGGAGCTAATAGGACATCTTCCATTCACAACATGGCACTGTCAATAGTCATATATCTTACAGCTACTGATGGAATCATCCTCTATAAAAGCTACCACTGAAGAAACCTTACTAACAGTAAGACTCAGAACCATTAAAAGTTCTGAAACTTGCTGGTAGTATAGTTTAATCGAAGATCTTACTGTTATCTTTATTAGAAGATAACAGTATGAGTTGCATAGCCACTACTACTAAGAAAGCAAAAACCTATAATACCATATGAGAATCAAGTGGATCGGGTACTTTTCATCCAAGGTTCAAACAATATAACTCAGAAAATGCAAGACTCGTCAACGGAAACTTTCTTCTTAGCCTAAGAGGCCTTCTACAAGACAGTAGTTCATACTAAGGATGAGTATTTATATTGTGACACTATTTCTAGCTATTACTGTCTTTTTACCAGGACAAAGGGGTACTTTAAGTTACAGTTATACCAAGTTTACTATAGTATACCAAGTATACTATAGTATACCAAGTATACTATAGTATACCATAGTTTTACCAAGACGCGTATTTTAAGTCATAGGTAATATTTACCAAAAGGGGTATTTTAAGTCATAATTAATATTTTTCCAAAAATTTGCTTAAAAAAGAAAATCCTACAAATAAAACAGAACACAAGACAAGTTGTACTGGATTACATTTAATTAAGAAACACTGTAATGTAAGTTTAAAACAAGTACAATGTGTTCTGTATTTAACTTGTTGAAATTAATTTAAAATGTTCATCAGTTGAATGAATTTAAAATGTATTTTTTTTTTTAATTCATTCAACTGATGTTGGGAAGCAGCTATAGTAAAGATATTTTTTTTTCTTCATAATTTCCTTTTACTATACAAGCATCAGTAGCTATCCATTCTAAACAAAAGTTAAGAATGAATCCATCAATATTTGCATACAGTATTGTGCTAAAGTAACCAAACAAAAGCACAATGAACATAAAACCGAATAAGAGCATAATGGACATTCAGACTTAAAAAATTTCCACTAGAGTGACAAAAAAATTATTATAATATTTAAAAACAATTTTTTTTACTAAATTGATTACTAAATATTTTTACAAAATCTGTAGAATACTAAAATATCAAAATTAAAATGCTTCTTAAAGCTTTTAATTTTTACAAAAGGTAAATAAAAATTTAAATTTTTTGAAAAAAATGTTTGTTTTGAACAAGTGCTAATAATACTTAAAGGGATCCTCCAAGACATGCTGTGTTCATACTTAAAAAAATTATAACAAAAAAAACGTTATGGCTGAACTTTTTTGATCAAAACAAAAGAATAAATGAACACCAAGAAAAACTTACTTTTTTTTTTAGTTGAAGCTCACCTTCTACATTTTGTTGAAGGTCAAAAAGTCAGCACAATATACGCGGCAATCGAAAGACCTCACAATTTGTGTAAAAGGTCGATTATGTAAACAAACTAAAAAGTTGATGATCTCATGTGCTAAAAACTCTTAGGAATAAAACGGGCTTGAATAAATTATGACGTCTGTAGATTGCGGGTTATATTATGCTGACTTTTTGGTCTTCAACAAAACAGAGAAAGCGCACTTCAACTAAAATAAAAAAGTTAGTCTTTCTTTGATCTGCATTTATTCTTTTGTTGTAATCAAAAAAATTTAGCCCAAACATTTTTTTAATTTTCTCTTTAATAAACACAACATGCCTCAGAGCTTTGGGATCACTTTAAGTAAAAATAAACAAGTTTAGGTCAAGAAGTAATATTGAGTGTGAATAAACAAAACAGAATTACAAGAGTCATTGCTGCTCGATTTATAATTGGAATTTCAATAAAAAAACAAATCTTAAATTAGTCGAATGGTAATTTCTTTTGTTAGAAGTACTATACCTTTATTCAAAAATCATAATTTTTTTTAAAAAAATTAATCATATATAAACTTTTTTTCCAATTAAATAAAGTAAATAGAAAATTATTTTATGATACTTGAATGAATATAGTTAAATAAATTTTTTATTGAAAGACCCTTCTAAGATAAAATAACTTAAAGCCCATGCGGGATTCCCGCATGGCTCTGGAGATACCATACCACTGAATATATTTATCATCCAAAAAGCTATAGAAACAACTTTATATACCAGCTAGCATCAGTATAGCTTCAGGTTGTGGACTCAACACCTCATCACAGTCGAGCATTAATTGGTGCTCTGGGCTTCACATCAAAGTATGTGAAGCCCTTCTTGTTTGTTGTCCATTATTGCAAATGTAGTGCAATAATATTCAATACAAAAAAAAAACAAGGTTCTCGTTACTATGCGTACTCTTATGTAATAATTTTCATAAAGTTGGATTTTCATAAAAATTAGACTCTTGTGACTTTTGGAGAATCTTAAATAGTATCAATAATAAGAGTAAATCTGTTATTTCATCTTTCTTATATGGTTCAGACTTTGTCTGAGTCACCTCAACTAAAGACAAAGCTGAACCGCTTGCTAAGAACTTTTCATCAATATTATCTATTGATTCCACTAGTTGTATTCTACCTGATTTAGCCATTAAACAGGTTGATCCATTGCTTGACATTCGTATCACTCCAGCTTCTGTATCTAAAGTGATTTCCTGCTTAGACTCTTCTACAGCTTGCAGCCCGGAAAACATACCTGTTATAGTCTTGCAGAAGTGTTCTCCGGAGCTGTCATCTATCCTTTCAAAACTATTTAACAAGTGCTTATCAGAGTTCTGTTTTCCAGCCTGCTGGAAAGCGGCATCTGTTATCCCTATTTTTAAAAAATTCTGGAGGGCGATCTGATTTGTCTAACTACCGTCCCATTAGTCTTCTTTCCATCATAAGCAAGGTTTTTAAATATTTAATTAACAAACACTTAATCTCTCATTTTGAATCTAGTAACTTACTTTCTGATCATCTATATGGATTTCGATCTTCTTGTTCTACAGCTGATTTGCCAACAGTAATAACCAATAGGTTTTATCGTGCATCAGATAAAGGTGGAGAGGTTAAGGTCATCGCTTTTGACATTTCTAAAACGTTTGATAAAGTTTAGCATGCTGGTCTTCTCCATAAACTTTCTTCTTATGGAGTATCTGATGTGAGAATATCTTAAAGATCGTTAATTTAGATTAACGATCTTTAAGATATTCTCACATCTAAGGTGCCATTGTTCGCTGTAGATACTTCCATTTATTCTTGTCATGATAAGAAGCTAACACTAATTGATTGCTTGGAGGGGGCATTTGAGCTTGAAAAGAATCTCACTTCTTCTACAGCATGGGACTCACAGTGGCTGGTAAATTTTAATTCAGATAAAACTCAATTTTTTCAGCCACTCAGTATCACAAGAATTTAGATCTTCCCATATTTATGAACAGTAATGTACTCAATGAGTTATCTACTCTTCATCTTTTAGGATCAACTCTTCCGATCTTTCTTGGAAACCATATATCAAATTGGTTGCAAAAATTAGTATCTGCTAAGGTTGCATTTCTTTATCAAGCTCCACACTTTTTTAATCTGAATTTTCCTCTCTATCTCTATAAATCTCAAATCCGGCCTTGTATGGAATACTGTTGCCATATCTGGGGTGGATCTTCTAATGATGCGATTTCTCTTTTAGACAAGGCGGAAAAACACATTGTAAATATAGTTAGACCTGCTCTTGCAGCCAACCTCTAGCCATTATCATATCGTCATAATGTTGCTTTCCTTTCTCTTTTCTACAAATACTATAATGAGCACTGCTCTAAAGAGCCATTGTCTCCTGTGTCATCTACTAAAATTTCTTCTCGTGGTACTTGTCATTCAATTAAATATCATCCTTTTTCTGTGACTGTTTCTATGTGCTCCAAAAACTCTAATTCCTCTAGTTTTTTTTACTTGAACTTCAGTTCTTTGAAATTTGCTTCCTTCATCTTGTTTTCCTGATTCAAAAATTTGCAATTTTTGAAGTTGTCTGTCAATTGTTGTCTTACTCTACAATCTTTATCTTTTCTCTTCTAATTTTTAACTCTATTAGTGGTTGCTTGCAGCCTTCTTTAAAGTGAAGATGTTAAAAAAAAAAAAAAAAAAGTTTTTTTTGCATCTACTACGTCTATATTTACTAGATCTGCATCTAAATTCACTATGTCTGCATCTACGTTCTTTTTCTTAATATCTTTTTATACTGTTCGAAACCAGTATTAGAAACTTGAACGCTTTATGCTTAACTTATTTTTAATGAATGTATATAAATTATACATTATTTGTACATCTATATGCTTTTAAACTTGGGTGACCATTTTACAACCAAACTCTTTACACTTGGGTGAGCATAAATTGTTTTTATAATTTACTATTTCTAAAAGCACACCTTAAAACATAACTTTATTTAAAATTTTTTAGAAAAAACTTGAAAATTCCAAAAAAAAACATTAAAAAAACATTTAAGAGATCAATCTCCATAAAAATTTCATACTGATTTATACTTTGTTGGACAACCATTGTACTTATATGATTCAAACATATTTCCTAACATTTTATAATTTTTTGTTTCACAAAAGTAGTTAATATAAAAATTTGAAAAAGCTTTTTAACAGTTTAAAAGGTATGTCTAATTTTTCAATAATTCTTTTAACATTTTTCATATTATATTTGCTTGTAAACTTGGGTTACAAAGAAAGTCAACATCTAAAATATACATAGGAGGAGAGGCATCTAAGTGGCTATGAACTAAGACTAGGGTGTATCAGATCACCCCTACCCAATGTTTTAACAGAAGATTTTTGACATTATTTTCAATATATGAATATCCATAACTAAAGAAATGAAAGCATTTGACTCAAAGGCCTAAATAAGCAGAATAATTTAAGTAATAACATTAACATTTGTAACTGTAATGTTTCAAATATTAATATAAATGCAATACTGATATTCACTCAACTTTGTGGTTAGAGTAAAATCTGAGAAGAGTTAAGAAAATGTTAAAATGAAAAAAGAACATCACAAACTTTTTAGCTCTGGAACTGTTTGGATAATCAACAACAACTCCTCCAGTAAAACCAGACTTCATAGCCTGAAGTGTTATCAACTCAACCTAAAAATAAAAATTACTATAAAAATAATATAGCAAAACTTTTATCAAATCATATGCAAGATATGAAGAACTAATCAAGACAAATATATAATATGAAGAAAAAATAAATATATATATATATATATATATATATATATATATATATATATATATATATATATATATATATATATATATATATATAACCCAACATAAGTAAATTTAACTGCCATTTTTAAGAAAACAATTATATACAAATATACTTGTATTACTTAAACTTTGAAGCTTATTTAATTTTATTTTTACCATTTTTACCAAAACTAGACATTAACCAAGATACATGACAATTTTTTTTTAAATGAAAAAAAGGGTATAGATCAAACCAATTAGAAACATTTGAAATGATAAAATAATGACAAAAGAAGATTACATCCTAATAAAGTTATAAACATCTATTATTACAGTTACAGGCTCTTTGTATAGAAGATTGCTAGTCACTAACTGCTAATATAAATTTTACAATACCTGATCAGGGCTATCAGGGTAAAATTGAAAAACAGCTTTACCACCTCTAACCTATATTAAAAAAAAAAAACAGATTACGATAAAAAATATGTTCAATAAACCAAATCATTAGAAATATATGATTTCATACATATTGTTACAAAAAATAAAACAGGTTTTATACAAAGTCAGAAATGCAACTTTATATAACCATAACTGGTAAAAAAAAAATGAAAAATTCAAAAAATAAATTAAAGTTAATATTTAAAAATAAATTATTATTTTGCATATTTTCTTATTTTATAAAATCTATCTAATTTTTTCTTTCTTAAATAACTTAAACAATTTAAATATTAGAATATACAAAGTTATTACATAGAGAATAACTTTATTTAATTTAACTTAATTATACAAAATATTATTTTGAGTAAAAAATAAGTTAAGCACTTAATGTTATTAATCATCTGGTTGAAATATATTACATTGCTTAGTTTAATATTACATTGCTTAGTTGTATAAAATAACTCTATTTAGTTCATACTTTAAGTTGAAAGTAGTTTTCAAGTTTTGAAAAAATAAAAAATTAATTTTATTGTCTTTTAGCTACGTCAAAGTATTTGCTCATTTTATTGAAACATTCAAAAGAATAAGCTATTATTAAATAAAATCACGCATTGAAAATCATAAGGAATTACTTTTATGTAACTTTTAGGTATACATCAGTTTTAAATAAAAAATGCTTAATGCTTTAGCCTAACGCAATATTTGACAAGTTCTTTTTATTATTTTTATTATTTAAAGACTTTAAATTCTTTAAATTACTACAATAATATTATTTACCACAGAACAAGTTAAATATTATTTAACGGCTTTTTTATTATTATCATATATATTTTATCAGAATTAAATTATGTTTTTATGATCTTTGCTTCATAAAAAAATTAACTTTTAATTTTATTTCATCAAAAGTTAATTTTTATTTTGTTTTTTATTTAAGTTTTTTATTTTAATTATTATTTGATTTTTTTCATTAGTAAGTAGCGCTTATATCAAACATAATTGTCATTCAAACTTTTGTAACAATTATTTTTACATAAATATCATTCAAAATTCAATGTGACTTTTTTAAAATTAATTACTTCTTTTATCTTATTGCTTATAGTATAATTTAAAAGTTAAAAAGAGATAAAAAGTCGCTACCAAAAACGCTTACTGCTTACATAAAAGTTGCTTAAGGCATATGTAAATGACTCTACACTTAACACTTTAAAACAAGGCCTGATATATGCTAATTTATATAAACTTGGTTTAGATTGATTTTATCACTTATTACTAATATAAAGACTTCAGACTTATTACTAATATAAAGACTTCAGATAAGCTAGCATATATAACATATATACTAAATGAACATATGTATATCTATATAAATATATATATATATATATATATATATATATATATATATATATATATATATATATATATATATATATATATATATATATATATATATATATATATATATATATATGTATATATATATATATATATATATATATGTATATATATATATATATATATATATATATATATATATATATATATATATATATATATATATATATATAAGTGTGTTTAGTAAACTCTCTGTACTCTTTGTGCGGTTCTTCTTTTATATTAGAAGATGGACTTTTTTGAGTTGAAGAAAAATTTTTTAAGTTTGGATGACACCAGTTTACTTTGTTTAAATTTGTTTTTATTTTATAATATTGGATGAGGTCCCCTCTAATTCTTCTGGATTCGAGACTTTTTAACTTTAAACTTGATAAACCTTTTTCATAAGAAATGTGCTTAAGACCTGGAACAGGCTTTGTAGCTCTTTGCTGAATCTTTTTAAATTTTTTTATGTGGATTCCAAACTGGTGCACCAAACTCTAATTCAGGTCTAACATAAGCTGTATATAGTTTAGTAAAGGAGTCAATTGACCAGAACTTAAATGTTCGCTTTAGTGTATCTAGTTTTGAGTAAGCTTTATTGGTTATTGTTGTGATGTGGTCTTTCCATTTCAGATTATTACTTATGCAGATACCTAGGTCACGCTCCTGTATTTTTTCATTTAATTTGACAATTGTTCCATCATGGGTTGTTATATATAATGGGACAGTTTGATTTATTTGGTAAATTAACTTTTTTGATTTGGTACTGTAAACTTTCATAACTTTATATTTTTCATAATTTAATTTTACGCTCCAGTTTTTTGTCCATTCAACTATTTTATTGAGATCATCTTGTAATATCTCATGATATTAACTTACTATCATCAGCAAATAGCTTGCAGGTATTGTGAAATAGTTCAAGCATGTCATTATAAATAGGTTAAATAGAAGTGGAGATAAAACTTTGCCATGTGGTACACCACGTAATACTGGGAGCCATTCAGATATTTTATTATTAATTACAACCCTTTGTTGCCTGTTTGAGAGAAAGTTGTGTAGCAATTTTTATTGTAGTGAGTGTAGTTAGGCAGGAAGATAACAGATTTTTCATCAAACCAGGATTCTGATATGCATATGATATGTGGTTGGTTTTGTTTACTTATCATTAATTGAAATTCATCCCATTTGCTATTTAGTGAAGTTGCATTTGAATGTTAATAGGTTTTGCATAGCTTTGATTTCAATTTTTTTAAGTTGGGCTCAATAGATCCCGCAATAATATTTTTTTTGTTACATTTATTGTAACGTTGCCTCCCATTACTTCCAAAAACTTCATAAGTAAGAGCTGCATTTCTTGTGTTTTTGATTTTTCTTAATTTATTGTCATATAGTTGTTCATTTCCAATTTTGTCCTTGTTAATGTAAACATTTTTGAAGATATATTATTTTCTTTTAATTTCTTTGGTTCAATTTTTGGTTTATCATTTTCTATGGTTGTGTTTTTTTCTTCACTAGATAATTTGGTAATACTCCCTACAATAATACTTTTCAATTTTCTTTTTGGTATTGAATTCATTGATAATTTTAGCCATCATTACAACATCAGTTTTTTTTGGTTTTGGTATATTATGTTTTATTGCTTTCACGTATCAGAATATTGTTGGGTTGTCTAATAATTTTGCTGAAAAATCCTAGATTCGATTTTTTATTCAAGTTCTTCAATTTTATTTTTCAGGGTTTTGTTTTCATCATTTAGGAGTTTAAATGATATGGTAAACAACTTGAACCATTTATGTTTCTTGGATATGTCTGAATGGTGCCCTGACCCCAGACCTTCTGGTATGATTACATCCAGTGATGTTGAATCCATGTTTCTTTTTATAAAGTGTAAAGGAGGGTTAACACCCTGAATAACAGTGGATTACCTCCTATTAACAGTGGATTACCTCCTATTAACAGTAGATTACCTTCTAATAACAGTGGATTACCTCCTATATGAATAACAGTGGATTACCTCCTATTTATTCTTTTATACTATTAATCTAGAACTTATTGCACAGGGACTAAAATGTTTCAGTATATGTTTTTTTCCGCCATATATATATATATATATATATATATATATATATATATATATATATATATATATATATATATATATATATATATATATATATATATATATATAATATATATATATATATATATATATATATATATATATATATATATATATATATATATATGATTAAATTTGAAACTAATTTAATAAAAATATATAATTTTATTCTGACAAAAAAAATAATTATTAAATTTAGATTTTAAAAATATATAATTTAGTTTTGATTGGAAAAATATATTTAGGTTTATTAAAATAATAAATAATGCTTGGGTTTAATTTAACGGCAAATCTATTCAATAATATTACTAAATGTTGTTCAATTATTAAATTTTATTTGTTCTTAAAAAAAATTCAGCTTATTTTTATCGCAATTATTTTTTCGGTTTTCCTTCTTAAATATTTTTTTTTTACTCAAAATTAATTTTTAAATAAACTTTAAAAATTTAAAAACTAATTTTGTTTATTTAAAAACTAATTTTTAAATAAACAAAATTAATTTTTAAATAAAGCTGTATGAAAAGTTTGCACAAAAAAGTTGAACTTTTTTTTAATAGCACAAGTTAAATCACAGATGTTATTTTTCAATAAACGATATGTTTAGTAATGTTAAAATTACATTACTAAATATATCGTTTATTGAAAAATAAATAATAAAATAATAATAAAATAATAAACTTTAAATAAAGTAAACAAATTCACAAAATATATTTATATTTGTTTCTCAGTAACTTTTTTTGATAAAAAAGTTGTATTTGTATTTGCAACGACGCAATGAGAAAATTAAGAAATAATCATTTTAAAAACTCAAAAATTTAACATGTTTTAATCTACTATAGCATATTTATATGCGCAATTGCTCACTTTTTTTGCTGGCCTAAATTAAGTGAGCATTTTTAGAAAACGATGAGGGAAAACGAAGAATAATGAATGAAAATGTTGCTGACCCATACCAAACCCTCAGTCGATGTAGCAGCACTCCACGGCGAGTCAGGCTATTTGTCAGTCGATGTATGTACTGAAGCCCCCGGCAGCAGGCTATTTGACATTAGGTGAGTATGACATCATCATGCTCACCTAACTCAGCAGTATAAGATATATATATATATATATATATATATATATATATATATATATATATATATATATATATATATACATATATATATATATATATACATATATATATATATATACAGGCTTGGTCAGGAAGCAGATGCGATCGCACTTGATAACTGACCACGTAAATAATATTTAGTTGCGAGAAACCGGCCAGATTTTTGAGTCATTTTGAGAACATTTAAGTTTTTGTATGTTTCCTTGTTTGTCCGCAAAATAATAAGTTCATTTTATTGTAAATTTTGTTTTACGGACTTACATGGAAACATACATAAACTTGAATGTTCTCAAACATCTTAGTACGGAAAAATAAAAAAAGAATATTCGCTAACACAAAAAACCCCCCAAATCTACGAACAACTAATTCTATTGGTTCAAAAAATACTAACTGAAATTTCTAGAGTATTCAAAAAATACTAACCGAATGTCCTGATTATTCTGTTGAAATATTTTAAAAAATTGCATTATTTGAGTTTTGTTAAGTTTTTGTCGAGATTTCTAGCATAAATTATTTTAAGAATATACTAACAAATGAACTAGTATTTTAATTCTTGGAACCACATCTACAAAGCTATAAATGTTGTAAACCAATAATATTTGTTTACAATAATGTTTTAACTTTATATTTTTTAACTTGTCAAGGTTTTGTAAATATATTATAGATTTTATAAGTATATTCTAATTTTTTATATATAAGGGATGTATTTTTTATGTATGTAAAGTACTTTTATTTATGTAATGCATTTTTATGTATGTATTTTTTATGTATGTAGTTTTATGTATGTGTATTTTATTCAAATGTAATCTTTTAAAACAATATGTGCGATTGATTTTGTAAACAAAAATACTTTCAATAATAACTGCGCTTTTAATGAAATTATTAATAATCATCAAACCCGATAACTCATTCTTTCTCCCAAGAAAGAAAAGTTTTTAAGCTCTTAGAAATTGGTTTACTAACTTCAATTATTTTTGCTTCAGCCATTCTTACAAACTTGTTATACTTAGAGTTACTTTTTCTGTTTTAAATACTAATAAAAATTATAAAGCCCATTTACTAAAACATCATCAGCAGTATTGTGAAGCAGTTCCACTTCCTCCTCACAAAATAATTTAACGTTTTTTTAAATTTCTATCCAGTTAATTGAATTTCTACAGTAACTCGATGATTTAATTATTTTATTTGTTCATCTTACTAAGAAGAATTATTTCAAATATTTTAAACTTTTTAAACTATGCGAAACATAATAAAGTTATTGAACAAACTTTTTTATAAATAAATCATTTGGTTGAATCTTGTTGGACTTTTCAGGGCCGGAGGCAGCATTATTTATGCGGCCTTTTTTAAGTGCCAAAACGTAAAAATGACTAAAAAAAATACCGTCTGGTCCTCTTGACTATTTCCCCTAACATTGTGAGTTCGGAACTATAGCCCTACTACCCCCACCCCACCTCTTCAATCCAGCACTGGAAATAAGACATAAGTATATAAATAAAAATTATATATACTCTTTGATAAATCGAAGAACATTTGTTTTTTTATAGTTGTTACTTTGTATAATAAATGTCGCTTAATTAAAAAAAAAAAATTATAAAAAAGCGAAGTTTTAAAAATAATTGCTCTAATACATTTATAATGCTTAAATTATTTCACGTTATAAGCTATTTTTCTTTTTTTAACTGTTTCTTATCGGTCCAGTTAATCTTATTGCGCTTTTTTGTTTGTTTTTGAAATGTTCTCAAAATGACTAAAAAATCTGGCCGGTTTTTCGCAACTAAATAATATTACCGTGGTCAATTATCAAGTGCGATCGCACCCGCTTCCCGTCCAAGCCTATATATATATACTAAAAATTTAGAAGAAACGACTTTTTATAGAACCTTAAGCTTCATGCCTATCGGCAATCATCAGCTATGAAGTACAAAATCAAAACATTAAAAAACATTAAAAAATTATAAACTACAATAGAATCAGTTATGACATTATAATACAAAAAGACGTAATGGAAAACTAATCTATGCTGTTAAATAATGAAAAATGAAATTTATTGTTGTGCCTATATTCAGAAACTAAACCGCCCAATTTATTTAGCAGATTTTTCTCTTTTGTAAAATAATGTTATGAGTTTCTCATTTAAACATAGCGTACAAATTTTTAACCCAGAATTGTATACTTTACAGCGTTTAATAATAATCCATTTGATTAGAAGTATAAAGTTACTTTCTTTTAAATCTCATACTTCCTTAGACAGTTTAATGTTGTTCTTGTACTTTTTGTGTTAAAGAATTTTAGATGGATAGCATAATGTAATTTAAAAGAGGTCTTGCTTGTCCCAATGTATACTTTATCTTTGTTTTGAGTTTAATTTGAACTTACAGTGGCTTGGTAAACAATGTTGTTAAACAAGCAATGGTTGTTCAGCAGACAAATGTATTTTTTTAAGCAATTGCAGGTATTTTTTGATAACTTTACATTACCATATAAAATATTTTTGTTGTGTGAGTTGATGATAGATTTATTGTTTAATTAATTTACCAAGTGATTTAACCAAGTAATGAAAAGCTTTAACCTGATTTGTTTTTAAATTTTGTATTTATTATTATAAATTGCTCAATCAGGTAAATTTTATTTTTTCAGTAGAAACATTTTGTTTAAATTTTGAAAAAAATTATTTGCTTAAACATATAAAGCTCTCTACCTTTTTATTTTATTTTACTTTGGTAAAAATCTTAGTAAATTTACATAAAATTGCAGGTAAAAAAATAATAAAATAAATAAATAATAAAAAAATAAGTATTGCACGCTTTATATTTGCAATATATAACGTTCTTATTAAAATATATATATATATATATATATATGAATTAACATATTTTTGACATAAAATAAGAATATATAAATATAATCAGGATTATTTAAAACATTTTTCTCAACATAACATTTCTACAATGCTTTTAAAGTAATTCACCAAAATGCTCGAGTTCAAGATAATAGTTTTGCTAAATCTTGTATTTCTTTGCTTGCTATTGAAATAAATAATTTTAATAAATAAGCTCTGTTTTATTTATCACTTCAAAACATTTAGATTAGGTGCAATTAATGTTTTTATGAGCAAAAAACTTCTGTTTTTTCTGAGTACGTATTGACCTTCATTTAATTTTTCTTTTTTTGCTCTCTATATACTTCAATAAGTCTATTATATTCAGCAATTTTTTATCAAGTTTTTAATTATTGAAACAATTCATTGGGTCCCAAAATCATATAACTACAGATATTTAAAGATTATTTTTTCAATTGTACCTGATTTTTTTATTTTAATATTTCAAATAGTAATAGATATCTTTTTTTTTATTTTAAAAATAATAGCAAAAAAGTTAAGCAATAAAAGAAAATTATTAAAACAAATCAATAGAAAGTAATTCTTATTTATTTATTATTACTATTTTTTCAACTTCTTATTTAATTCAATGTTTAATCATACTTACCAGAACAGAATAAAGAGAACTAAAAAACATTTGGAGCCTTTTGATTGGATTATGCCATTTTTTATCTGCATTACATAACCACTGTAATGCTGATATGCTAAAAAATTAAAATAAAAAGATTAAAACTACAAATTCAAAATTCAAATAATAAAAAATTGTTTTGTAAATCGAGTATCCAGTTTATTTAAATTTCGTTACTTTTCTGATTTTCTTTGTTTCAATGTTGCAAGATTATAGGGTGAGAGAAAAAACAGAAAAAGAAGAAAAGTTAGAGAAAAACTAGATTTTTTTTTTAGATTTTAAAGTTTTATGGTTTTCAAGAAACAGCTTGATCTCAAACTGTACTACTTTTTTCAAGTAGCTTGAGATGGTGTCTTGATAAAAATACTCAAAAAGAGCAGAAATTAACTGTATCAAGCTACAGTTTGTAAAAGGACTCCTAGGTAAAGACTTCACGGGTAAGCAGAATAATTATATTGACCAGCCTTGAATCATTTCTTTGTCTATAAGGCTGGCATAGTAAACCTGTGTTACATTGTTTTCTGCCTAATTTGATAAATGCTGGACCTTCGCAAATCTACTCATAAATTTTTAGCTTTTGATATTGGCTAAGCAACTCTTTTTATTGCCTAAAAAAGAGGGTAGAGCTCTAAAACTCAGTTTAATGGTTTTGAGGCCTGCTAGTGGTAAGGTTCGCCAAACTCTGAGGTAGCTCTCAGAGAGGCTGATTCAATCAACAGATATTAACAATGCCAATCATCCTAGGGCAATAATAATTTTTTTATCTTTTCAAAAGTATAACTCTCTTGACAATAATCAGCTACTTATTGTTGCAATTAACTGATGTAAAAAGGTGCTGCCTAATGCTAAACTCCATTATTCTCAGTTCACTAAATCTTCTATCTTATTTTTTGAACTTTTGAAAAATCTTCAACAGTGTCATTAACAAAGGTAGGTCGAACATTCAGTTATAAATTTACGAAACTGATCTTATTAACTCTCACAATTATAAGAACTATTTGTAATGAACTTTCTTTCTAATTTGACTAATAAATCTTACAGCCATTCTCTTCCTTCCATTCCAATTAAACAGGTTAACCTATTATTAGACATTCAAATTACTACAGCTTTCATTGGTAAAGTCATATCTCAATTTAACTCTACTACAGCTTGGTTCAGACAACATTCCTGCCACACTCTTACAAAATTGTTACCAAAAACTCTTTACAACTCTTTCTTAACTTTTCTTGTTTTCTTGACTGCTGGAAAATGGCATCTGCGGTTTCAATTTTCAAAAGAGAAAATTCTGACCCCTCCAATTATCCTCCAATCAGTCTTCTTTTTGTTATTAGCAAAGTCTTTGATCACAAAGTTCTTACCCCATCTTGAGTCAAATAACTTACAGTCAGACAAACAATACGGTTTTCAACCCTCTACAGTTGACTTGTTAACTGTTGTGACTGAAAATTTTATTGTGCATTAGGTGGAGACGGTGCAGCTAATGCTATTGCTCTTAACATTATTTTTGAGATTATTAAATCGTTTCTTACTAGCTGCTTTATAATTAAAGGCCATCAGTCTTCTTTATTTTCAGTAATTTCTGGGGTACCTCAAAGTTGTATTATTGGTGTTGTTTTGTTTCTTACCTACATTAATGATCTTTCTGACAACCTTACATCTAAAGTTTCCTGATGACTCAACTTCTCTACTCTAGTCTTGATAAAATATACTCTATACTCTAGTCTTGATAAAAAATCTTCTCTTTTATATTTTTTGTGGCTAATTTTGAGGTTGTTATCACTTTTGTAACAAATTTGGGGCTCGCAGTGGCTTGTGAATTTAAAATTAAACAAAACTCAGTTATTTACTGCAAACAACAATCCTAATACTGTCCACATTCCTACATTATTGAATGGCAACACTCTCACTAATTCCACTTCTTTACGTTTTCTGGAAATATTGTTTTTTACTTAACTAGCATCTGCTAAAGTTCTCTTTAAAATACTTGCTATTTTCTAATTGCTGATTTCATTTTCTAATTCCAAAAAAATAAATTACTGCTATACCAGGCTTGAGTCTCTCTCCTATTGCTGTAAAGTTGCATCTCTTTCTCTCAGACATTACAAACAACCATAACAATAACAAATATCAGGCCTCCCACTCCTAAAATAGGGTAAAATTTTATGTTTTTGGGACAATTTTTCTAAGTTTTTTATGACTTTTCAGGACAAATTAGTGTTAAATTTATGACATTTTAGGATAATCGAAAGTTAGGAATGAGTTTTTGTATTTAATTATTTAAATTTAAATTTGGGAATTAACCCTTTAAATTCAATTATTATTAATATTTTATTTACCCTTTAATACCCTTGGAAATTATTTACGTTTATATAAAGTAGATTATAAACAAAATATAATTTAAACAAAAAAAATCTTTAACTTTACGACAAATCTTACATGTAAAACCTACAAGTAATAACTTATATCTAAAATACGAAACAAAGTTAAATATACAATAGAATCCTGTTAACTCTGACCCTGGATAACTCGGACATAACAAAACATTTTCACAGATTTTTTTGTTAAGTAATCATTTTTGTTAATTTTGTTATATTGATACATCTGTTTATACTTACAAGTCAGACTATATATCAATTTCCCTTTAAAGTCTGACTTTAAAGGATTCTACAGTATTTTTACAATTTGTGATATATATTAAAGGACGTAATAGAAACAAAGTATTAAATGTTAATAGATTTTTTAAGTTAATTATCTGAAAAAACTGTTTTATTCAAAAATAAAATTCTAAATAAAATTATAATTCTTTTAGAGTTATAATACAACTAAGTTAAAATAGAGTTTAAAAGCAAAATAGTTAGAGTTGCAATATAAACAATATAATTCTAAATTGACAGTTCTTTACTCCTTTTTTCTAAAACGTCTTGTTCATCAGCAAGCTCCTGTCTTCTTTTCATCCCTGTTTCAATTTTACACTGGGCTCGCTGCAATTCATTTCTTGTGCTGTTTTTTTGAAGCAAACACTTCTTTAAATCACTATTTCCATCAAAAACTAAATCATCAGCAACTGATAGACCGTTTTTTATCTGCAAAAAAACAAACTTTTACTTCATGCAATAATTAAAAAAACGAAAATTAAGTACAAATCACATTACCAAAACAATTTTCATGAAGTTTAGTATAACATACCTGTTGAATGGATGCAAGAACAGCTTCATTTTCATTTTTCAGAACATGTTGTTTTGCCTCCTCAGTTTCCTTAGTTTTTATATGCTTTTCTTCCTTTTCTTTCAACCTACGTTTAGCTTCCAGGTCAGCTTTGTAGCTTGAGTGAGCAAATTTAACTGATTGTATAAATGACTTTGTTATTGGAATATCGAGTATGGATCCAAAGCTTAATATAGTATCTTTTACAAACCTCAAAGCCTCAATTGTCTCTGGATCAAGTGAAGTACCATGTAACTGAATAATGTGTTTGTTAATTGAAAATCCATTCTCTAGAGCACTATTTCCCTGCGAAAGTGAAGAAACAACTTTGAAAAGAGATGAAATGTATTAGGAAACTTAGGTGAACCACTATCATTCAAAATTTTAGTCTCAAAGGAATTGATTAGTGTATCAATATCTAAACTACATAAAAGTTTTGAAACTATAGGAAGACCCGCAAGCTGAAAGGCTTTTTCCCAGTAAGAGGTTTGATTTCTCCCAATTGAAACTAAATCTTCCGAACATTTATAATAGCACTCTGGAAGCAATTCCATTTGGTAAATTCGCCATTCGCTTCATACAATATCACAAACCTCTACCTTTAATGAACAAGATGGAAAAACTTTACATAAGACTACTTCCAGTGATTTGCATACTTCTAGAGTGAGATTTGAGACAGCTGTTAGAGACTCGTTACTACCCTTTTTTAAAGGATCAAGAAAGATTGCATTTTTTAAAATAGTTGATTCCTAAGGTAATTTTAATTTTAAATAACTAGTAAATGCTTGATAAGACTCAAGACAATTTTGCCGAAATTTCTTTTCGCCGCATGAGATTTCTAGAGCTTCTGAAAAATAAGATTTGGCTTTTGTGCCAATATCAATTAACTTTAGTGGTTTACAATTTTTTGAGTCAATCACATCAACCATCAGCAGCTCATTAATAGATTTTATGGGATTGCTGCCATTATTATTAACATACAGAAGCTTAGTTTTGATAAACTTGGACATTAATGCAACAAAAAGTTTTGACATTTCAGAGTAAATCAGGTGAATTCTTGGTTTAATTGATTGAAATGTTTTTAAAAATATTTTAAAGTCATTTGCTATGAAAGCAATAAAAAAAATATACGGCATCGATATTTCATTTTGCAAAATATCTGTAATTCTCTTATACCTTTCAGTATCTCTAACAGTTGATTTAAAAAATGTAGTTGTTGGAAGAAATTTTATAAAATATTCACAAAGATTCTTGTGTTGTTCTAAAGTCTGAGAACATATTCTTCTGAGTGTCACCCATCTTGTTGAAGAATGTCTTTGAATAAAGTGTGAAATAATTTCTGTTAGATCTTCCATTTGTCGATAGTCAGATCTTCTTGCAGCAGAATGTCTAAAGAAATAGTTAACATCAATTGCAAATGAGTCAATGTTGAAATTTAAAACATTAACTCCTGCTCTAAATGCATTATGAACTATATAAAGAGAGGGCATGTGCCTATTGATATAATGTTTTTATTTAAATTTTTGATTTTCTCTGACAACTTTAAAAGTCTCTCAAACTTAATATTTACATTAGGACCATCCATACCAATATGGAGCATAAACTTTATGTTAAGCTTAAGTTTTTCTACAAGCTCGAAGAAATGTTCTAACAATTTTTCAGCAGTACAATGGTCTACCATGACAGTTCCACAGTATGCAATTTCAATGCACTTGTGTTTTCTAGACCAATATTGTACATAACCATCATACTGTTTAATAACTTGTTGATTAGTAGATTCGTCAAATTTAAATGTAAAAACAGTATCATTTAAATCCTCCAATAACAACGTTTTTAAATATGGAAAGATGCCGTACTGAATGGTGTATTTAG